CTGGCTGTGATGCTCAGCTGCGGACAGGAGACACAGCTGGAATGCAGCAGCTTCCAGCTGCCCGCTGGGAAGGTGCCCGCAGCTGGCAGCGTCCCTGCCAGCCTGCCCTTCCCTGTGCCTGCCCCGGCTGGGAAGGCTCCGCAGAGGAACGGGCAGGAGCCTCAGCTCCATGCGGGGACCTCAAAGCAGACAAGAGGAGAGGAGGAATTTGGAGCCAACACTCAGGAAATATGAGCAGCAGCCTCTGTGAGGAAAAGGCTGAGTCTCTGAGAAGGGAAGAGGGAGGCTGTTTGTTTGAAGGGCTATAGATATATATGTACTGAGCCTGAGGACTTGTCACCCCAGGTGTATTGCAACACCAGAGGCACTGTGGTAACATCCGCCGCTGGAGGAAACTAAGCTTCTCTTTCCTCTTGTGTAAAGTTGGACTCTGAAGGCTTTCTCTAAGAGAAAAGGAGAACAACTTGGTTTTCCATAAGTAATATAGAGGAAGGGTCCCTATTCGCCCATGTATCATCTGAATTTGTCATGAGATCCCTCGTCATTCTCACTTGCTGCCTTTACAGAAATATATTCTGGGCTTATGCAAAAGTGAAGACAACTGAAAGTGGAAAAAAAGAATTCTTTTCATGAACACTGGTGTCTTGGAGCAGGTAATTAGCCGAACAGGCTCACAGCATTGTCAAGAGCATTGTCTGACAGTTTCTCCAGGAAAGGGCTAAGAAAGAGCTGGCAAGGTCCCTGTTACACTGTGGAGAGGACCTACAGCATTTTGACAACACTGTCACCAGCACACACATCCCCTCCCACTGCTAGAGAGCAAGGTTTTGCTGTGGAATGTGTTCCAAATCCAGAGACAGAGGACATGCTTCTAGCCACGCATTGAGGAAAACTCAACAGAATAATGCAGCTCTCTGGAAGAGGGGCTTTCAGGAGGGACTTTCTGAGGATTACTCAAAATACAAAAAGTTTTTCTGTGGCAGGAACCAGAATCAAGTATGCAAGAGGCACAGGAAACCCTGGGATGCCACCCCATAAGACTCATCACCATGTGCTGCACATCAACAAAAGCCTGCCAAACCCAAAGCCTGCCAAACCTAAAGCAGAGCAGACACAGGAAATAAGCCCAGAGGACATGGAGCACTCACACCTCTCTGGGCATCTCTAGAGCATGGGGAATGTAGAGAACGAAATAGAAAACGTTTGTGCTCATCAAAGCCAGATATTTACTGGCTGGGAACTGTGGCTCATCCCAGCTGTCCCTTTCCCCCACTTCCCAGGATGCCTGCACAGAGCTCCAGGCTGAGGTTCTGCCCTGGTCCCTTGGTACCTGGTATCCGATGATCTCCCCGTTGCAGGAGGGCAGCGAGTTCCACCTGAGAGTGCCCGTGTCGGGATCCAGCCACAGCTTCTCCGGTTTGTCCGGCACTGGAAGCACAGACAATGGGATCACACACAGGGCCATGAGCAGGGGCTGAGGCCACACAAGGGTGCAGGCAGCTCCTGGCCATGGCACAGACTGCAGAGGGACTCCCCACGAAGGGTTTGACTCCTGCAAAGGCTGCATGTGCTGCAGCAGTGGGAAGCACGACAGTGTGCTGTGGAGTGGGACGATGAGAACGGGACGTGCCCTGCTCAGGGCTCTCCCAGCCCCTTCCCCAGAGCTCCACAGGAGC